AGGGCCACAGCATGGCCCTGTCAAAGCTGGCTCAGATCTCTACCATGCAACTAGGATGCTAGGATAAAGGAGTCCTGTCTGCTGAGACTGACCGCTGATAGGCATTTCAGGACTATGCAAGAAGTCTTGGAATGTTCCATGTCCAGAGGCTAACCATTTTATCTTGGGCTAAGTTCTGATCCTCTGGAACAGCCATTGCTTGCCTCGCTCTGTGGTGGAACATCTTGCAACAACAGATAAAAACATTTTGCAATCTATTAACTTAGCAGAACACTAGCTTCTGTCAACCTAAGAACCTAAGCATCCCATCAGATAGCATCTTAGGTCTGTAAAAAAGCTCCCCCATCCTGCTGTACACCTCCCTGATGTACCCATGAATGCATTGTAAATTTACTTTGATACATGACTTTGTTCTGTAAAGCTTTAAAAAGTCAAGAAGCTGCTTCCGCATGGGAACAATGAGTTTGGGGTAACTAAATCTGTGCTCCCAGGTCATGGTCACTCATAACGTCTTCAAAATAAACACTCTCTTAATCCCTTTAAAATGAGAGTTGGGGTTTTACATGGACAATAGCAAATCCACAAAGACTAAAACAATCAAAAAAAAAAAAAAACTGCTAGGAGGCTTTTTATATTGTGTCCCTATCAGTTTCCATGATACTAGTAAGTAAATAAGATGATTTATTTACAATTAGGTTATTAGATCTCATTTGCATGTGATCTATATCATATCTGTTCTATGCCTAACACATGGGGGGGGGCAGATAATGCAGTAAAATGAGAAAGAAACTGTTGTATGACATTAGAACGAAGAACCAAACATTACATGTCTCTATGATACACATTGAAAATTATATCAGTAATGTTTAACAGATTCTTGGTGAACTTCTCGTAATTCCAATTCCTAAGTTAGAATTCAGAGTTCACAAAAACTTAACCCATATCTAACTATCTTTGCTGTTGCAAGGGAGTATACTAGATTTAGTGAATTACGAATAAATTACACAGCCATTTTCTGGTGGAGCTACCGGACAATGCTGGAACCATATGGTGAAGGTTAGCATCGCCAACAATACAAGGTGTTCTGTACACTCTTGATGGTGTGTCCTGGGAGAAAAGCACCCCACCCACTCTTCACAAATATTCTTCACCCTAGCTAGTCATAGGGAACTCATACACACTCAGACTGAGGAGCATAGTCATGAAAATAGGCTGAAAAAAAATCCCAGACCAGAGGTGACTGAGAGTCATGACAACTAAACACAGTGCAAAACTTGTATGAGACACCCAAACAGAGGCAGGACATTAAGAAAGAAATTCACAAAGTGTGGATTTAAATAACAGCAACATTTAATGTTATTGTGTAATAATTTCCTCCAAAAAGGGAGGCTCCTTAAGCAGGAAGGTAAACAACTCAAAATAGCTCCAGGAAGTTCCTGAAACTGACCAGATTCACTAGGCCCCTTCCTGCCAGAGTAAGCAATGAAAGCCAAGAGTCTTCAGATGAGGGAATCCAGGTACAAAGAAGACACTCACAAACTGAGGGACAAAAGAAGACTGAAACTAGACCAGCTGCCTACAAAGAGCTGAGCTGCCTGAAAGAGGTTTACATTAACTGAGGCACCTGGAAACGACACACTCCAACATGCTGCCTGAAGGCTGTGCAGTGTGCTCCGGGTTCCCAGCTTGTGATGTAGGTTCCCACCCTAGGCTATTAGTGATGCAGATGCCTTTGAGTCATTTCTGCTCCTATAAGTAACCCCAATAAAAATCACTGGTTCACCAAGTTCGACTTTCGTGCCATCTGTACTTTGGTCTGTCGTGGGCTCCCTATCTGGGGTGAATAGACATGTGTGTTGTCTCCTCAGGAAAAGTTTTGTCATACAACAAATGTCAGCCTCAAACACATGCTCATAGTGTTAAAATATTAAGGATGCAGAAACCTAGCTCTATGTATGATGTTCCTAGCTTTTCTATCAGATTACCCCCAAACAGAAAGTTTATTTTTAAAAGAAAGTGTGTGCTGTACAGTAGCCAAGAAATAATCTTCAAGCTCCCAGAAGACTAACCTACAGTATTGGAGCTTCCTTTAAAGAAGCTGAATCCACTACCAGTGACAGCAGGCTAGGAAATAAGTATCCAACAAAAAAAGAGAAGTTAAACTATCATGTGTAATCGTCCTAACCTTAGAATTTTCCATTCCCTTGCCATTATTTCCCTCAAGAAACTAGATCATCTAGCTTTCAGAAGGGGGGGGGGGCTTTAAGATTAACCCATCACATTCCAGGAAGATGCAGGAAGCAGCACCTGAGTGGGATCTCCTCATCACTGTCCAAGTGCAGCAGCTGTCCCTGCAAACGCCTCTCTTCACTGCGCAGCTGCTTCCTCATTTCTGATAGCTCCATAATTACATTTTTTTTCTCCTCTGCAAATTCCCATTGAGAAGTTAAAAGAAATTAAAGAACAAAAGATTAATTACCAAAACACAATCTGGCTTATCATGAAGGTAAAATGTTCAGAGAACTTTTATGAAAGATATTTATGTGTATTTTAAATACATAGGCATATACACATCATAATGAACATCATTAAGACCCACCATCAAAGTTTTGATAAAAACAGGGAGATAATCTTACAAACATAACAAGGAACTACAAAGGGCGTAATAGGTTTACACTCAGAGGGCTGACTATCGGGGTGGCTGTACAAATTACATATGATAAAAACAACTAAAATCACAAACACAAAACCCCAAAATGCTGTGAAAATCTACTGAAAGTCTTGTCTGTAAAGAGTACCACTGCAATTTGTGCAGGATGAGATGGGCAAGGGGGTACACATAGTACTCTTCCCCACCATTTTTGCAACTCTCTACAGCTCTGTAATTATTCTGAGATGACTGAAAAAGTACACAGCCTCTAGATTACAGGTGTACTATCTACCTTCTGCACGGAGTTGATTCTTCCTTGCAGGTACAGGGGGAGACTGTGCCCCGGACATAGAGCTTTCCTATGAAAAACGGTGACAGACATGGTCAGCATTCCTTCTGTATTCCTCAGTATAACAGGAAACCAAACTCTACATTGTAAAACATGTCTATATCTACAGCTAACCTTCCTTCTTGTATGGTGGAAAGTTGCTTGCCTCTGGCCAATGACAGCTCCTGTCTCTGTATGCTGTACCTGTTAAGTGTCTCCCATCTCCTACAATCGTTCTCATTTTTTCTGACCTCTTCTAAATAAGCACCTTTCTCCCAGCCTATGCAACACATCCTCCTCCTTCATTTACTATCAAATGTTCACTGGCATCTTCCTTCACAATTAGGCTTCACAGGGCTGGAGAGCTGCCTCAGCAGTTAAGAGCACGTATGTCTTCCCCCATTCACTCCCTGATACTCAGCTAGAGTCTGCTTCCACATCCATCACTTCAGTACAACTGCCTTTACCAAATACAGTGATCCCCAAGTCACATACTTAGTTGGCAATTTCATCCTGAATTCCCTTGGCAAGTAATGACTAACATTACTGACACTATAAGTCTGTGTGTAACTTTCCCCTGCTGTTCAAACACTGAATTTCCTCAAATTTCTGTCCTCAACCCTTTTGACTACCCCCTCTACACTTACCCTGCACAATCACATTAATTTAGTAAGCAGCAATATGTTAATTGCTTCCCAAACTACAAATCCAGTCCAAATTGCCTTTCTCAGGCACAACTCAACTTTCAATCTCCAATCTGTATCATCATCATGAGAACTCTGAAAATTAGTCTTGACCCTCACACACCATGCACCTGTGTACCAAAATATTGCACCTGAAGCTGGAAACCCTACTCAGTTCCCTCTGTCACTTTTGTGTCACTGCCCTTGTTTTAAGCCTTCAGTCTCACATCCGGACTTTACAAAAGCATCCTGTCTGTCTTCACTGCCCATGAGAACATTACACAAGGACAAGGGCCCATGCCATTCTACTTAAACATACAAGGATCCCAATGCAATTTCTACCACAGAACATATGAATCAGGCTCTCAGAAGTAGAATCCAAGAAAATGTTTTTCTCACATGTCTATGCTTGTTCTCATAGTTCACATTGCTGCAATCCACAAGCCCATGGAGTAAAGTCAAAGCCTGTAACAACTCCATCCCCTACCCCAACACCCTGCACAGGGTCTCCACTCCCTGTTGCCTTTGCACAAAGTCCGCATCAGACCAGGTCAAGCCAAACCACATTCTCCACATGGCTGTCCTGCCCTCCATAGCTTGCAGACACTGTCTTTTACAGCTGATTTCTTCTGGCTGCTCAAGCATCAACTTAAAGGCCAACTTTCCTGGCTTCTTTTTGACTGTAGATCAGTCTAAAACATAAGGAACTCCACATGTATAACCACAGCTAGTCAGAGACTCCACAAGTATAACCACAGCTAGTTAGCTAGAGACTCTATAAGTGTAACCCACAGCTAGTTAGAGATTCCACAAATAGAGCTACAGCTAGTTAGAATGTATTTTTTCCAAGACTTTCTTAGGCAGGTGTGATGTCAAACAACTTTAATCCCAGAACTCAGGAGGCAGAGGCCAGCCTCTGTGGGTTGGAGGCCAGCTTAATCTATATATCGAATTACAGGACAGCCAGGGCTACAGAATGCAATCCTGTGTCAAAACAAGCAAATGAAAACAACAACAAAATAAGCAAAAGGACTTTCTTAAGGAGCTGAGACAAATATCATTTGCTTTAACAGAGTATGGCTTATTAATTATGACTGAATTCTGACTATAAAAATAAAGCTCCAGGATACCAAGTGCTATCAATTACAACTCTATCTAACAACAGATAAACTAATGCAAACAGTAGGAAATCTCATAAAGTACCCCATCCCTAAGAAAAATTATATACACGAATGAAGGAACTTATGATGGTGTCGACTGAAGGAGGTCTTTGGAGTTTGCTTGTAATTTTGTTCTGAAGAGCAGGGACTACAGGAGAAGGCTGTCTTAAATACTGCAAAAAAAAAAAAAATCTGCACATAAATATGCACATACAAACTATAATTCAATAGTCCAGACCACTTAAGAAGTTCAGAGTATTATTGCTTGCTTTTAATAAAACATTCTTTACAAAACAGTCAAGTTATTTGAGTTGTGTAAGATCCAATTAGGTATCTGGAGAAGAGAGTCCTGCCTGAATAACTGTTATTCATGATTCACATTCCAACTCTTAACATGGGCCCTGTGCGTTAGAAACAGGGATTCCAAAAGCAGTCTCTGGTGAATTAAATTTAATTTCCAATATAATCCATAAAACAAATAATTCAAGCCCAATGTTTTTGTTAGAGTATTTATTGGCCAGTCACTCTGGTGAGGTGCTGTGTAGCCAGAGCCCATAGCCCACATGGTTCTGATCTACAGACTACATTGTAGGCAGCACAGCTGAACACAGGGCCACAATAACAAGACTGAAAACAGCCAAAATTAGGCCCAGAATTCCAACTGTGGCAGCACCTCACAAAGGTCAATACAGTGTGGGCACTGGATTGAAAGGCCAGAGAAGATAGCAGCCCTCCTCTCTCCCCTTCCCAGCACAAGCTCTAAGCGTGACACATCTCCATCTGAAACATACCTTTGTTTCATCTCCAACCGTATTTTCTCTCTCATAATAGTGCTGAAGTTGCAAGTTATGCTTTTCTTCCTCTTCTTTCTTCTTTCTTTCTGCTTCTTTTCGTCTCTCTTCAGCTAACCGAATGAGTTCTTCATTTTTTAGTCTTTGCTTTAAAATTTAAAAAGACATACTTCTTGCATAAATTTGAAGTACATTTTTAAAATGTGTTACTTTATTTGTCTCAAAGTAAAAATTGAATATATAAAAGATACAGTGTTCTATAAAATGAAGATACTATCTATTTGATAAAGTAGTAGACATCTTTTACCAATTTAATGTTAAACAATTTGTCTCTTTCTTAAATTAGTAATCAATCCCAATAAAATCATGTGCAATGACTGTAACAATGAGGTACTTTAAAGATGGATTTCAGGGTGGCAGCCCTCTCATGCATAACAAAAGCTTCTCAAGTCAACATAACGTAAACGTTTCCCTTGGGCGCACCTCCTCCTCCTTTTCCCTTCTCCTCTCCTGCTCCTCCTCATATTCTTGCTGAATCCTTGCCCTCTGCTCCGCAAGCCGCTTTTCTTCCTTCTCTTCTGCAACTCTCAGTCTCTCACGCTCTGCCTCTTCTCTTTGTTTCTTCTCCTCAATCTGAAGAGTGAGGATGAGTTAGTATTCTGCCAAACTACTGACAAGTTAGAGTATCACTTTTTCCTCAAAAAAAAAAAAAATACTCAAAAGTATACCTTCTGTGTGCAGGTTCCTCGATTTGTGGGTGTCCTGTTTTTTACTAAGAAGGACACGGCCCTGTTAAAAAGCTGCTAGTCAACTGGCATGTCTGCTTAACATGGACTGTGTGAGGACATGGACATGTCCTCAACTTTCTCATCCAATGTTAAAGTTCCCTTCTCACCAGGAATTAAAATCAAACAATGTGAAGAACAGACTGTTTTTTCCAGTATAAAAGGTGCTGAGTAAATGTGGCTGCATTCTTTGTCTAGGGCTGAGGCTCCCTGAGATTCTGCCCTTCTATGTTAGCAGCCCATACTCAGGCAGCCATATTGACTCAGGGGTAATCTCAGAAAGATTCTAAGACCAAGAGGAACACAAAGTTTACTGTGGGACTGTGTCTCTTAAAGGTGTCACTCTGGATTTTACATTTTTAATTCACAAAGTATTTTTTATGCAATCTGAATTTCCTGTAACTTTAAGGTTGCACATTGTCAGTATTTTACATAATGAGAACTTGAATCTTCCTGTACGAACTATGAGTGACCAGCTGCAGCCTTTCCTGATGACACATGGAAATGTGCAGCCTAACATTCAGTACCAAGCACTATGCAGACACAAGGACAGCATATCCAGAGAAAACACTGACAATGCAACAGGACCTTACTTCTCCCTCTTTCTTCTCCCTCTTCCATGAAAAAAAAATTATAGAGAATAACTGCTATATTAAAATTAAATACTTCCAACATGTAAGTCCTTAACAGACCATACAGCTAATGCCAACAGACAGGTTAAGTATTGTTGAAAAGGAGAAAACTATCTTCTAGGTCAGTTTTCAAAGTATGAAACACAAAAGCACTTTATAAAATGTGCTAATTTTAAAATAATTTTTGATTGAATTGTTAAAAAATTTTAAATTTATTTTTAAAGCTGTACTTAAAAAATCACTCACAAATGTTATTTACTCAGTTTGAACAGTATCAAGGCTTCTAACACATTAACTATTACTTGTTTGTGCAAATCCTTGGCTAAAGCTTTTCTCACCTCTATGAACAAATTTGCACACTTTAAAACATATACTTCAATTCTTAAGTTTTAGATTTTTTTGTCTTGAAGATATTGTTGATAGTAAAAGTAAACACCATTTAGCTATTTCGCATTTTCTTAGAATTCTGTGTTAATCTAGACTGCAGACAAAATACATTTTGTGACCACTAAGAAAAACAATTGAAAAATCACCGTTCAAGTGTAATCTATTCATAAATGAATTGAGAATGTACAGGGAGGGGCGCTGAGAATCAAACCAAGAGACCAGGCTTTCTCTCTTACTAGTGGCTTTCCAGAAGGAAAGACTTCCTAGAAGTCCCATGCATGTCAGTGTGCCACCAGACAGGCTTTGCAAATATCCTCTGCTGCTAGGGACAAACCAATCCGCATCTGATTACCTGCGTTCGTTCCTAAAATAGGGACTTTCTCTAGACAGTCTGAAATTTAGTAAGATACTACATCTGAAATTATTTTGTGGATAAAATGTTAAAACACCTGTAATATTTGATAATTACACCTTTTACTCCATGGTAGATGTACTGAATAAAATAAACTCACATTTTGACTTGCTGTAGTCATAGTAACGGCACCACAAGCTCCTTCAAGTTCAGCAGCTGATATGGCACCACCCTCAACTTGCTAACCTGAGTGTCTGGTATCTGTGGGGCTTCTGACATCTGTCATAATCTCTGTTAATCACGTCTACACATTCACTGTCACTGTGCTAAGAAAACAGCCACACTTCTGGTATACCCCATCCTCCACTGATACATCCGTAAGTCTATGTAGCTTCATTATGCCACTGTTCCACGTAGAGTCCATTAAGAGCAGAATGTGTTCAAGTGTGATGCTATGAGGATCTGACTGGCAGACTGGGATCAGATTAAGCCTTAAATATCAAGCTAAAGGGTCTAGACATTTTCTGTAAACAAAGAGAGGCAATTGTACCAGATTTTTTTTAGTAAAAAGCAACATCATGTAAAAAAAAAATGTACACCAAAGGAAATTTTTATCAGGCATCCTGAGATGTAAGTGTGTAAGTGCAGAGGGAAGGGAGGGAGAGAAAAAACCATGAGTCCCTTACAAGCCTACATCTCAGTCACTGGGGCTCTATTCTCCTACTCAGCACTAAACCAAATCTGTGGATTCCCCGAGCTCATTGGTCAATAAACACTAAATGCTTCAGTACCTCCTTTGGAAATAGTCTGAATATTTCACTACTTTAAATGCTACCTGCCTACATTCAAAAAGAGGCATATAATTACAAAATGTCATTATATTACATATAAATTTGTTTTGTTTTGTTTCCTGAGACAGAATTTTTTCATATAACCCTGACGGGCTTCTCAGTCCTCCTGCTTATTAGTCTCAGTGCTGAAATTAACGCAGGCTCCACACACTCAGCTAAAATGTAACTTCTGATTATTTACAGTCCGGACTGTGTCAGGGATAGCACATCCCTGGGGGGTGGCAGGGCGTCATTTCCTACTCAAATACGCATATAGAAAGATTCACTCTATATTGGTAAGTGAATTTTACAAATCTCAACATTCACTGATTTAAAAACTACTGATCTTCTAATGAAGTTTAGAAAAGATTCAGATATGAGTGGATCAATGTGGTTTTTAGCAACAGCTGTACCTGATATAAACTAGACATTTGGGATAACTGCATGGCATTTTAGAATTTAGTGCACAGTGGATAAAATACCTGCAAATTTAGTTTATTGTTATATTTATTATTAAGAGTTGGAGTTATGTCAGGTGTTGGTGACGGATGCAGAGGCAGGTGGATCTCTATGAGTTTGAGGCCAGCCTAGAGTGAGTTCCAGCACAGCCTCCAAAGCCACAGAGAAACCCTGTCTTGGAAAAAAAAAGAAAAGAAACAAACAAACAAACAAACAAAAGAGTTGGAGCTTTAATTAAACAAGCCTTTCACCTGAAAACGAAGAAAATCCTTGTATAATTCTTGCTGTTTGATCTGAAGTTCAGTGGGTGGCTCACTGAATGTGTTTCCACGGGCAAAAGGAGAGCTCTGTGTTTGCACAGGACCTTCAAAAGACAGTTCACAAAAACATACAGTTAGGAAAGGAACAGTGTACTAATAAACCCATGTTATGAAAACAGTATGGCACACAGAAATCCTGGGGTTAAGGTCAGAGAGATGGGCTGAGAAGAATGTGAGGAAGGCAGCAAGGAAAAGCAAACATAAGATGAAAGTGAGCAGCCCAACTCCACCTACAGCAGCGGGAGGGAAGACACCGAGGGCACGTGCAAGCTAACAGCATAAACATGAAACACAGTGCAGGCTGCAAAGTGAAGTTCATGACGGAAAATGTGCATGACTAGCCTTACTTAAGATTAGTTCTTAGGGGCTGGAGAAATAGCTCAAGGGCAAGGCATTTGCTTGGCATGTGTAAGGCCCTGGGTTCAATCCCCAGGGTTTTGGGGGGGAAATGAAAATAGGGGGGAAGATATTACTCTATATGCATAGCAAAAATTTCCAGAAATTATTTTTGAAAACTGCTAAGTTCAAAATTCTTCACATCCATAGCTTAAATACAGGCTATAAAGTCATCTATGAAATAATTAACTACTTTCCATAACTGTGATATGTTTTCCTTCTAAAACTGAGTTCAGTGCTTTATTGGCATGCACAGGCCTTATTATCTGTAGCACAAACAGAGCATTTTTAAAGGGATATAAATGTAACAACAGTTTATTGTCGTACATATTCCTTATTAATAGCATTGTATTTTATCAAAGGGAACTTATTTCAGAAAAACTATTTGAAAAACAATCATTCCCTAGGAACCTCTTTGAATGAAAAAAGAAAAAATATTACATTTAAATTGAAGTCTCACAACTTTTTATTTATTCTTAAATTACTGATTTATTTTTTTGTTTGTTTGGTTTTGTTTATTGAAGCAGGGACTTACTATGTATCCATGACTGATCTGAAATTCACTATGTAGACAAGGCTGGCCTCAAATCTGCAGCAATCCTCCTGCCTCTGCCTCCTAAAGGCTGGGATTACAGTGTACCTCCCTTATTTGTGTTACTTTATACAAACTACTTGGCAGCCAGCAATTCAGGTCTCCTTTTCCTTTGAGTTCAATTTCACTAATGTTTAGTTGACTGGATTAACAGAAAGTCAAATCAAACCTTGAACATCATAAGAACTTAAAAAAAAAAAAAAAAAAAAACCTGTTCTACTGAAAGCAAACTGAGACTATGAAGGTTCTTTTAAATCTTGGGCACTACAGAAAGCCAATAGTAAAATAAATGTGTGCTCTCTTCTCTCTTAATTTCCCTCAAAATTTAAATGTTTGTGACAATCAAAAGAAAGACATATTAGATAAGATCTGTTGCAAAAAAATTTTTTTTCAAAGTGTAGGGAGCTAGTACTATTAGAAAACAGACATGTAACTAGCTACCATAGTAAACACAAAAAAAAACAACTGAAGCTGCATTAGTATTGGAGTTCACAGTAGTTCACTTAAGAACGATAAAAGAATATTAACAGCAGGCCGGGCATTGGTGGTGTACACCTTTGATCCTAGAACTTGGTAGGCAGAGGCAGGGGGATCTCTGGGAGTTCAAGGCCAGCCTGGTCTAGTTGAGTTCCAGGACAGCCTCCAAAACAATACAGGGAAACCCTGTCTTGAAAAACCACACAAAAAAAAGAAAACAGAAAAAAAAAAAAAAAAAAGATATTAACAGCATGAGCTGGGCAGGTTGGTACACACCTGTAATCCCAGCATGGGAAAGGCTAAGGCCTCATAGTGAGAGCCTGTCTCAACTTTTCACCAAAAAAAGATCATTATGAGAAAAGAAACTGGGCCTTATGAGGGGGGGAGCAGTGGCGCACACTTTTGATCCTAGCACTAGGGAGGGAGGCAGAGGCTGGCAGATCTCTGAGTTTAAGTCTAGTCTGCTAACACAGTGAGTTCCAGGCCAAGCAGGACTACATATTGAGACACTGCCTAAAAAATAACAAAAGAGCAACAAAAAAAGCCCAATTAAGACAAAATATCAGAGGACAATGAAGCTTAAAAGCATAAATTAGGAAAATTTTCAGATATAACCAATTTTCCCAAAGCCTTTTAAAAATATTAAGCAGCACATTTATATGTAAGCTATGTGCCTATGTGTACACATACATACAAACACATAAGCACTCATCTTCATATATATGGCATAGCACAAACTAAGTAGCATGGGATACTTTCTTATATTTACAAAGTTTAGTTCCGGTTAGTTCTTAGGGAAAGAAAGTCTAAGAAATTTCAATTCAAATAAAATGAGAAAACTAAACATTTTATGACAGTCTTGAAGATAAAGTATCACTAGGAGGAAAACCTGAGATACTACAGAAAAACTACACAGGTCAGAATTTGCTAGGCATGTTCAATCAGGCTTATTCTCTTGGAAAGGGGGTCATAGTTCTGTGCTCATGCCTAAGAAGGGTGAGTCCTGAGCTACAGTAGAGCTGCAAGCACAATTGTGCATGGAGAGAGACAGACCTGGAGCAAAAGATTCCTAGAAGCGGCAGCAACAAAGAGCAGCAATACACAGAGGAGCTACAATTCTCTCCTAACAACAATAAGATGAAAAAGTATTTGCCGCTCCTACTCTACACTGAACTATTGCAGATTAAAAAAAAAAATACTTTTATCAAAACCAAAGGTTCCAATTCTGGAGTTCTAAAAACTGAAGTTAGATGGAAACTGTAAAAATCTATTGTAAGTCAGGCGGTGGTGGCACACGCCTTTAATCCCAGCACTTGGGAGGCAGAGATAGGTGGATCTCTGTGAGTTAGAGGCCAGTCTGGTCTACAGAGTGAGTTCCAGGAACAGCCAGGGCTACACAGAGAAACCCTATCTGGAAAAACCAAACCAAAAAAAGAAAGAAAGAAAGAAAGGAAAAAAGAAAGAAAGAAAGAAAGAAAGAAAGAAAGAAAGAAAGAAAGAAAGAAAGAAAGAAGAGAACAAAAATGAAACAAAGATGTTCTTCCACGTAAGGGCAGTGCAAACAATGAATGTGGCTGTCTACAAAAACTGCAAACAATGCTCTTCAAATTGCTGGCCACAGACAGGCCCAGTAACGTGACCACCATCACAGCCCACCACGGACCTGCATGGGTTGCCAGTAAGTCCTATCAGTGCTAAAACTTGGCTGCATGATTAGTCAGGAATATTGCAGAAGAACTTCTTACTGTAAAATTTTTTCCTATAATGAAAACTCGCACGAAAGTGTAAAAGCAGAATCAAAACCCCAATAAAAAACTATAAAAGCGCAAAAGCAGAATGTTATCAGCATCAATACATAGTATGAGATGTATACTATTTACATATTTTGATTTTTTAACTGTATGGTATATACCCATACATATATGGTAAAGAAGGATGGTGCCAACTTTTCCCAGCAAGCCACAAAAAAAAAAAAAAAAAAAAACACTGACTAGTTTCAGCTTACAGAAACTTGGGTAGGGATGCTGCTTTAAGGGGATTGTCAGCTTTACCCATCAACAGAGATGGATCTGACACTAAACTTCCAGTTGCTTCATTATTTGTACAATGTAGAAGGTAAGTGATCACTTAAAACAAAACACTAATTTTTTGTATAATTTATCGTAACACACCAAATACTTTCTCACTGGTGCAGTCATGCAGTCATGCAGTCATGGGAGGAGAAGCAAGCTGTGTATATGTGTAAAGAAAGACCCTCAGGTACAGAAAGGAAAATGTTAGCAACAGCTACATACACACAGCAAGTTACAGAGCTGGGAAGAAATACCCACTGATAAACACAACCTTTCCTTATTCACTTTTTTCAAAGTAACTACATTAAAGAAAGAAAATACTCTATGCATCCTAATTCATAGTACCAAATTCTCAAAATTACAGTAAGAATTTTATCAAAGAACAGAAGTGACATGTTACTGGACAGCATTAGAAATGTTTTTTAGTATAGAATGTGATTAAAAACCTGAGTTTTTATTTGCAGAATCTTCTAGGTTCTCAGCATTTGAAGTGGCTAAATTTTGGTCTATAGATACAACAGCCCTTTTATCTTCACATGTTCTTGCATCTGGGTTATGGTAGGCATCTATATTCTGTCTGTGCATCCTATTCAAATCAGCTGAGAGGGAAAAATAATCCATTTATTTCAATAAACACATTTCTATAGTTACTCTTAAACTTATTACATTTAAAAATAAAAAGTCAGAGGTTAAAACAGGACAACACTGGGAATGGCTAGATGGCGGCTGCAGCTCTGAAACACCTTCACTAAAAACTCTCAAGAGCCTGCGAAATCAACTCAAAACTAGGACTGAAATTAAGGATACATAAATCTTTGACATGCTATCAAAGCCATGTTAACATACCCACTGTCAGTTCAGAAATCAGAATTTCTTTAGTATAAAACTCAAAATAAGTCAGAGTGCAATTTCCCCCAAACCTAAAAACAATGAAACAGCATGTTCTCGTGGAATGTTAAAATGCATCCACACATTCTTTAGCAACTCTTCTTCACAATGTGGAATCCAAGTCTTCATTACTGTGGTCTGTGTATTATCTGTGTATTATCTCACGTGAGAGCGGGACACTGCCAGGACATGATACATGACTTTAGGGCTGCTTCACAAAGACATTAGTTCCATCTTCTCTGATCACTGATTGTCTCACTGCAGGGAAAACCAACTGCCATATCATAATGGCCGTCAAGTATACTATGGAGAAACTGAAGCTCCCTGAGCTACATGGAAGCCATGGTAGACACATCTTATACTACAACCTTAGGCTAAACCATCAAACAGAAACAACCAGAAAAAAATAATAATAACCACTCAAAAAAAAAATCACTACCTGAAGAAGCACAAAGTAGTATGCACTTCTTATTATAAAACATTACCCTGGAATTGTGTATTACCTAGCAATAGACTTGCTATGTCTGTTAAGTAGGTAATACCTAATTCAACTGATAGATTGTCTGGCATGTGCAAACTAGGTCAAACCACCAGTCTCAGAAACAGACTTGCATGTTTATAGAATTCAAGTTTTAAAAGTGCGTACATATAAACCTGTCTACCTACTCCTCCTAAAACACTGTGCTAATAACAGTAAAAATGAACTTAAACACAGATGTAAGAATTATCTACTAGGAAGAACATTATATTCAAGGATGTATTTTGAAAGTGACACATATTTAGAATACCATACAGAACAGTCCAAATACCGAGTGAACATATACAGGAGAACAAAGCTCAGCATAATGACGGTTTACATCCTCAAATTACATTTAGGCCATCTTGGGTTTAGAAAATAGACAAGAACTTCAAGGTAAACAAACAGGAAAATGTGCCAATGAGACATATCCTATGGTCACACAAGCCTGGTAACTTAAGCCCATTCACACACAGAAAAATACACGTAGATGTGGTGGCTCACATCTGTGATCCCAGCTCTCCTACAGCACAATACAGGAAATAAACCAGGAAGCTCGGCTTGTGGAAGCCAGCCAGACTGGAATATGAAGAGCTACACAGTGAGACCCACCTCAGCAAGGTAGCATGAACTGACTCCTGAGAGTTTTCTCTGGCCTCCACATGTGCACCATGACATGTGCATGCCCTCATACTCACACTCACTCACACACAAATATGAAGAAAAAGAATAACAGAGGAGATGGGAAGATGACTCAACAGTTAAAAACACCTACCACTCTATTATGGGACCAGAGTTCAGTTCCACTACCCACACTGGCAGCTCACAAACACCTGCAACCTTCATCTTCAAGGGATCTGATGGCCTCTTCTAATTTCCATGGCATGGGCAGAAAAACGACTATAACACACACACATACACACACATACACACACATACACACACACACACACACACACACACACACACACACACACTTTCTTTTAAAATGAAGTAGAAAAATAGAAATGGGGGAGGGGCGCAGTAGGTAAAGGCACTCACTGCTAGCCTCACCAGGTCCCACATGGGGAAGAGAAATCAAACCATCTCCCTGATGTCTGGTAACATGCACACCCACCCTGTATCAAGTGAGTAATGGGGCTGAGATGAAGAGGGGAGTTAAATATAATCAAAGTACATAATGTACATGCTTGTATATGTCACAACGAAAACCACTGCTTATACAAAACATGCCAATGAGACAGAAAGGGCTGGTAAGACGGCTCGGTGGTTAGTGTAGTTGCCAGGCAAGCAGCAGTTGTGAGGACTGCTTCAGATCCTTAGAATACACAAAAATGGGGCTGGCAAGATGGCTCAGAGGTTAAGAGCACTGACTGCTCTTCCAGAGGTCCTGAGTTCAATTCCCAGCAGCCACATGGTGGCTCACAACCATCTGTAATGAGACCTAGTGTCCTCTTCTGGTGTGCAGATATATACATGGAAGCAGAATGTTGTATACAT